TCTGACCACTAATCCCTTTCTTCCTAGATAGATATGAAACTTACTGGTTCGCACCCAGGTTTTCTGATTCAAAGGTCATTGTTCCAACAACTAGATTACCGCCATTTCAGCATAAATGTAAGTCTGTTAATGTTATTATCATTTGGCTCATCATTTGGTTAAAATCATTTGGCTCAAGAACCTTTTCATATGCAGCAGCTTCTCTGTGGAACTCTCTCCCTATCGAGTTAAAATCATCTCCTTCCCTAAGTACATTAAAAAAACGACTAAAGACTCATCTATTTCTCCGCTACAAGTGACTTCCAATCACCCGTACCTGCCAGCTGTATATAGTTTAAACTTGAGCTCAGGAAGCCCTTTGAGCATATCCCTGTGACGTGGAAAGGCGCTATATAAATGGCCTATTATCATTATTATTATTATTATTATTATTATTATTTTATCATCCTTTCCCAGTTCACACAATGTTAAACTCCACATAAAGACCGAAAATACAATGTATGTGCAGCGTTGGTTTAACTGCTGCAGTTCGAAATCTGATGTAGACATAATGTGTTTTCACAGACAGTATTTCTCTCAGAGGAAATCAATTATATCTAATAGGCATACATGATCAGATATAGATGATTAAGTCATCTTCGATGCTGACATTTCCAGTTCTACTATTCATTATAAAAATGACATACGTTTACATAAGATATAAGAATGTTTATTTATAGGGTTTTCAAGGGTTTAAATAGTTATATCAGCACCTTTGCAGACAAGTCGAACCAGCATTTACAACTAATACACGCTCCTAAAGTTGGAATCACATCCTGATCCAAGTCGAGGCCATTTGTGTTACAAATTCGACGCCTCGCTGCTCTCGGAAGTCGCTTAGTTTCACATTCCCCAGTCAATGACGACCGATGAAGTAAAGTGCTGCGTCGGCGTGCGACATCTCAGTTTCAGTCGACCAACACACACTCCAACAGGGAGCACAAACACCTCCCTGGCTGGCGAGTTCCTTCACGGAACGTCGAGGAGCGTCAAGTGGACACTGCTGGGGTTGAGTGGGCCGTTGGGAGTTCTTCCTCAGTGCCGCGCCCTAGGGGACGTTTGTACAGCTTCAGGCAACACCTCGGACACCTAAAGTAGCAGATTGATGTAGTCATATAGAGGTCGTTTACGTTGATTTACGGTGATATGTACGGTCTAGATTGAACATGTAACACGGGCCAAGAGAAAGGTCGATGGTGACACGAGAAAGGTTTCAGAGGGTCTGCCGCACCATTGGTCACATTGTGAGGTTTTAATTTGAATGTGTTCCCTGGCGTTGGATGGGTGTTACATTAAACACCGATCGCTTTACCATTCCATCTGGTTTATAGTGGTTAGACTGTCATGAGAAAATGATGGCTGAGGAGTAATTTAAATTCATCTGATGTGCATGCCAGTCTGAGAAGATAGTACCCTGTATGAAATCTGTAAGTCGATCTGTAACATGATCTATAAATTGGGTGTGTTGAACATGAATGTCGCGATACCACTTCTCTAGTATAATGATCAATAAGTTGGGTATATTTAACACGATGTATCCTATCTTTTATCCATTCTTTTCCACTGCAACGTGATTGTTTAGAATAAGCAGCTTTTACAACTAGACTTGCAAGATAGTTGATAATTTTTCTATCACCATGCATTGTAGCGAAATATATTTTAGTAGAAGTAGAAATAATGTTTTTGAAAGTGTCAATACAAGTAATATCATAGGATAACGTATAACGATGAATACATGAACATACGTCACATACACTATATCTTGAATCCGAGGAGGAGCTAATGCTGAAATACATGTAATTGTATTGGCAAAAGTGTTGAAAAGTCCCAAATTTGCATTGCAATGTTGACGTTGTCCCTGATGAAAAAGAAGTCGTCGATGGAGGCTGTTGTAGACGTAGAGGCGATGGGGATTACACGGAAGCTATAAACATGTGGTGAAGTCGTTAGGGACTTTAAGATACGCATCTTTCCAAGAAATGGAGACGGTGGACTCGCATTGGGTGACACTTTTATCACAAATGTATTTAACTTTATCCGTCATGCATTCTATGGAAATGTAGAAACACAAGCAATGTGATTAAAACGTCATGCTAGAACATGATATAGACCCTGGCGCAGACCTCTCTGTGGGAAATATTTACATCAGGATGTTCAAAACAAAAACGATATCTGCATGCAAAGGGTAGGTCCAATGCCAAAGCAACATAAAATGCCAATGATCCTTGACATTTTATTGAAATCAAATACATTAAGTAGAAACAATGATATTGTACGAGTATCAATGTGCTGTTTTCTGATTTGGAACACTACCATATCTGTTCTGATTTAGAATTAAACGTTAGGATGATGGCTGGAATTTTACAACCGCTTCCGGTTAATCCGATTAGGCACTGAGATATAATTGAGTGGGTAGGGTTTTTGCTGCTTCTACTATTACAAGCAGAGGACACCAATAATGAGCCACTCTTATCATCAAAAGGGGAATTGTGGCTGAAAATAACAAGACTGACAGCAGTTTGCAGTCACAGCAACTTTGATTCAACTCGTTCGCATGACATAAATATACTATTAAAAAAAAAAAAAAAAACAAGAAAGAAAAAAGAAACGCATAACCCTGAAATCTGTTGCGAAAATGTTATATTTTCAAGCATGTATAATAACTCGTCCAGAAATTGACTTTAAGGACCGTTCATAATTTATGGCTGGGGATTGGGGGTGGGGTGGGGTGATGATGATTTTCATGGAAAGGCATGTACAATGTGAATGTCCCCCTAAAATTTATGCACACACACACACACACACACACCAAAAAATAATAAATAAAATAAATAATTATGAACGGTCCCTTAGTTCATGAATTTTTACATCAGTTTAGAAGAAGGAATTGTCTATACAATCAAGTGGATAATTTTAGTTAACGGACACGTTGAGCGCGATGGTGACGACTTAGCAAGTGCACGGCCCGGAAGTCGGGGCTCCCGGCTCTTAGTCCAATCTTTCTCAACCTGTTCCGTACATTTTGACCGGATATTTTCCGAAGCCCAGGCACAACTGGGATGTACCTGGGATGTACCGATCTTGGGCTGCAGCGGTGACTCTAGGTCTGCCTGTAAGGGGACGGTCATTTGTCATACCTTTTCGGTAGTAAGGAGCTGGAAATCGTGATATCGTGCTCAGACTAACATTTAGTCGCCTGGCAAAAGAAGATTATTAATCTCCAGCGTGGATTCTTTCAATGGCGATGTTCCGTATCGCAGCGTCAAGACGAACACTACTGCCTTTAAGTTCATTCCCCTTGAACGCGTATAACACGCATGTCACACGGGTGTGCAATGCGTTTGAGTCCCGTGTCACACGCGTGTGCAACGAGACACACACGCGTGTACCACGCGTGTAACACGGGACCAAGTTCCGTTTGAATTTGACGAAAAGCGTTAAGGTTGCGTACTTAAAAGTGTATGAATTTGAATTCGGAAATTTGTAACAAGTGGTCGGGAATGAACTACGGGTTGGTTTAGTTGGTACTTGTTTTGCATATTTCTATGTTTTGTGTTTGTATTTTTAATGTAGTACTTGTTGTGTTTATTTTTATGCTGTTGTTGTTTATTATTTTTTTATGATAATGCTTGTTTTGTTTATTTTTATGTTTTGATTTTGCATTATTAAAGTTAGCACTATCTGGTTATATTCGAAGTAGAAGTCCATTTTTGATAAGACTTATACCTAAGGCTTTGAATGTTTGGGTGTTATTTAGTGGGGTTAGAAGTGTTTGTAGTGTTAGGTGTGCGTTTGTGTCCAGTGAACTCTGGAGCACCATTCTATGTTGTTGTTGGTAGTTTCTGCAGTGATGTAGGACGTACTCGGGCGTTTCTGTTTCGTTGCAGTGTGTGAATTTTCTGTTTGGAATTTAATTTTGCATGGCCTGTTTGTAATGTGGCTATTTTCCTGTAAGATTTATTCCCACTTTTGGCAGTCAATTTTCACACCTGGTTAACGAGCTAGAACAGTTGTCCCGGTTTTGGCAGTTTATGACTCACACCTCATAATTAGCCCTTTGACACCTCGTTAATGAGTCTTAACGGATTTAATCAGCTCCTATGTAGAGTGAAGGGTGTATTCCCATACTGCCTACAGGTTAAAACAACATGATAGGGTCCAGTGATCAGGAAGTGAAGTGGGAATACACCGATTTGACCTGTTCTACCACTGCTAAAATGAACTTGACCAGTTACTTGGTTAATGAACTGACCTGTTCTATTGTGTCTTCCCACTGTGCCTACAGAAGTTTAAAAATGACAAGTGTTGGTTGGTTTATTCATTCTGAGAATTCTCTGTCTTTACATGGAGACATGGATATAGAGAATATTTAAAGAATGTTATTGGTGACGATTATTTCATTCACAATACATTTGCAGAGTATTTCGAATGTTCAATCACACCAGCCAGCACACTGCCACAAGCATTGATGATGGGGTGTTGGGGGTAGCGTCTTGGCTCTGTCCTTTCTCTTCCATAGTGAGCATAAGTGTAACAAGGAATGGTTTAACGTCGGCTTTTAGCATAGCCAATGTCGCCGACGGGGTAGGTGTGGTTTGAAATAAATTTATTAATAGTGTGTTAATAAGAATACACCACCATACCCCAATAAATGTAAATTTTAGGGCATTAAACTTAACTGAATTTTAAATAAAACAGTTATAAATATAATATAAATAAAGTAAAAGCCGAAATTATAAAGAGAGAGAGAAAAATGGTGGTGTAACAAGGGGGGTGTAACAAAGAATTCAGTTTCAAATCTATATATACTCTATCGAAATAAAACATCCTTCTTTTCTAGTATGTGAGATGAACTTCCCTAACTCTAACCTCTTTACATTTACCCCGGAAATTAGTTATCTAAATAAACATCCTTCTTTTCTAGTATGTGTGATGAACTTCCCTAACTCTAACCTCTTTACTTTTACAAACATCCTCAGTGCCTAATTGGTCCTAATTGTGCCAGTAGCAAATTAGTTACCACCTTACTGACGAGACCTAATTGATCTTAATTGGTCACACCAGTTGTCCCTATTTTGGCATTGAGATACAACACCTGCATGGTCCAGTGCACAACAGACTGCCAAAAAGTGGGAAATCACCGTCCTGTAAATATTTCTAGATTTATGGTAGTTGTTTTTTAATCTTGTAAGTGTTTTCATTCAATAGATTGTTTAGTTATGATTTTGAATTTGGGTAGTTACTTTGCCACTTTTGGACGATTTTGTTTAGGATAGTACTTCTTTTTATTAGATAATATTATTTAAAAACGAAATGAAAAGCCTTTACGTGGAACACTTATGATAGAACACATATTAAAGTCACACCGTTCATGTTCACTCTGTTGTTCACTGTTCCCAAACAAGTGAGATACCGAGTCTGTGCTCTCCAGGACAGTCATATGGTGTCAGTGTGTAACTGCAGCGGTGTCCGCCCGCTTAAGCCACATTTCAAGTACAAACCTCGGCGCTGCGAATCGCCGCGCTTTTTCAAATAAGCGTCACCAATTGTTTTAGTGACTTGTCCTTTGTTTGTTTAGTTAACATATGATGGGCGGCTTCTTTATTCTGGTTGAAGTTTTTAGTTAACATATGATAACATATGTTCTGAGATAAAGTATGACCAGAAATTATTGAGAATTTTAGGAATATGTTTGATTGGATTTCTAGTATAAACAACCTTGACCAGCTACCTAGTGCTTGGTTTCATTCAAGAGAGACAACTCCGTTAATCCTTTTCATTAGTTTGTGAAGAGTTATCCCCCTTTGTTTACTTGCTAGCAGACGAAATTTCAGTGATCCTCAGTATGGATGATTTAGAGAAGAGGAAGTTGATTTTAGAGTATTATAACAAGGACATCAGATCAGCTAAAGTCATTTCAAGTAGAACAGGCATCCCTTTATCCACTGTTGATCGTGTTTTGAAAAATATTGCAAATCGATATGGCATTGAGCACCAGGGAGGCGCAGGTAGGCCCAGAAAATTGACTGTCGGTGACAGGAGGCGGCTTGGTATTCTTGTTTCTAAAAACAAACGAAGGAGGTTAGAAAACTTAAGGCTGGATATGATTGATAGAGGAATTAAAATTACAATCTTTAAATTCTCAATAATTTCTGGTTGTACTGTAGTTTATCGTTATGGATTATCGAAGGAAAAGTATCAATATTGGTGGTGTGTTTACTTTTATATAATTCTTAACTAAACGCCGCCATGTTTTTGTACCGTGTTGATTGTTTATTTGTTCATCAATTTTATTCATGTACATCTTCTTTGCATTTCATACCGCGGATATAACTTTATTTCTACTCAATCTCAAAAGTGCCCATTCAGATGATGAGTTACGCCTTTTTGCGATTTTATGATGGCGATTGCGTTTACGAATCAATTTACGTACCTCACTATTCATCCAGGGGGCGTCCCGGGGCCTTATCGTAACGACTTTATTTGGAATATAACTATCGCATAATTCAAGAATTGCACCAGTCAAGTCGCTTGCGATACGGTTAATATTTTCAAAGGCAAAGATAGCATGCCAATCAAGAGTATATAAGTCATTTTTAATACCGTCCAAATCAGCTAGAGCATAATTATATATTTTTCTCTTGTAATTAATCGATTTTGCAATCGACTCATTGATGGTGACATATACAGGGCAATGATCGCTACATACAGGATCTAAAACACCCGATTTTAGTACAGCGCTAACACTTGAAACAAAAATAAGATCAATTAATGTACTAGAACTGGGTGTAATCCTTGTAGGTTCAGTTATTAGTTGTGTTAGTCCAAATTGCAGTTGTAATTGATGAATTTTCTAACTTGTGTCTGTAAGAAAATCAATATTAAAGTCACCAACTACAATTGTGTCCATATTAAGATCAGCAGCGTTATTGATAGAATCTTCGATTCAATCCCAGTAAGCTTCTGTTTTGTCTGCCCGATAGAACGTTCCTATTCGGTAATTCCGTTTCTTACATCTTATTTTTATCCACATCGCCTCAAGCCCGGCTATAGTTAAATTCTCCATATATTCAAAACTCATTTTACTTTTTACGTACACTGCGACACCCCCGCCCCTGCTCTGTCTATCATTTCTGAGAGGTGAATGGAAACCCGGAATTAAAATATCATTACTACTTATACCATCATGCAACCATGTCTCAGTAAGACATATGACGTCGTAGGATCCGAACTCTGCCTAAAGTATGTCAATTTTATCTTTAAGGCTACGCACATTTAAATATATTATGTTTAGTTCATTATTATTAATTGGACCTGGGTTAGGATGAATATCACCGCAGATCAAGAGAATAAGAGACGCTACCAAGGAGACTTTGACATTGTATAGGCAAAGAAGTAGCAAAGAATAGGAAATATTTTAAGTTTGTTGGCAGATTTGTTTTGAATATAACAAACAAAAGAACCTACCACTTGTCTATACTGTACAATATCAATCATTATCGAATAATTTAATCATACTAACTTGGGTGGGTTCTCTTGTGAGCAAATAGAACTGATCTAATTTACGACATACAACTGAAAAGCCTTATAAATGTGTATTTAAAGCTATTGATTTGTTAAGAGAAAAAGGCAAACATAACTGTATGCCAATGAGTAGATGACTTGAACAATGTATCTCTCGGTAACCGGACAAAAATCCCCGGAACCCCCTCCTGGAAAGACAATGAAGAGTACAATCCATTTAATTATTTGTCAATATTACAATAAGGTCAAAGAGCACATAACACATATTTGAAGCACATTCACACCATTCATTTTTTTTCTCTTTGATAATATTTCATTCATTGCACATTTATTATTATTTGACATATTTATATGAGCATATATGCATTCATATATTATGTGACATTTATTCATTTGACATTTATGTTATTTGATCATAGCACATCATTTCATCAAACATCAGTTCGCATACAGCGGCCAATGCCATGCAAGAAATCTGGGGATTAAAGTGTTGATCAAAACATGATAACAAGGATTAAAGAACCTTTAACCTAAAGCTAAAGATGGGGGAGAAAAAAAAAGACAAAAAGGAATTTGTCCGTTTAATGTTAAGGATGGGGGGATTATGTCGGGGGGTTTTGGGTGTGTGTGTCCGGGGAAAAAAAAAATTGTCCTGGATTCGTATCTCTCTGACAGAAATCCAAGTAGATAATCTGACAAAGGTAAGAAAATATATATGAACGAAAAATAAAATCAGGTTACAGGTGGAATCTTTCATCTGTAACAGGAAAAGGGACAGTGGAAAACAAAACAACAAAGAACATCATCTGTTTGCTGAACCTGTATGGTGACCCGTCTTACTGAACCTGCATGGTGACCGGTCTTAATCTCGGCTATGCATGCAGCTCAGGATGCACGAGCGTCTATTACGTAAAACAAATGTGGTGGACGGATTGTACCTAACAAAATATTTTTAGAGAGAGACAGCGGTATGTGAGAAGTATTAGCAAGGAATATATATACAGTTGGGATATCAAATAACTGTTGGAGTAAGTTACTCTTTATGAATAGAAATAATGGTATATTTAAAAGCTATTTAGGTAGTATAAATCAAATATTGTTTGCAACGACCGCAAAAGTAGCAGATGAAGCGGTCTATTTTCACTTTACCATGGGTTCCCTTTTTGTTTTTGTGTGAACCATATGTTATTGATTTTATTCGTTTGATTAGTTTGTCATAGATGCCTGTGGTGAGGCAGACTTTGGTCGCGTTTTCGCAAACATCTGTTACCATGGCTATTTCACAGCAAGTCATATGTCAGCAAACCTTTAGCAGTTGCCAATGAGATTACATAATAGTCATTGAATTCAGAGTTGGTTAAAACATGTGTTAATCCACAGTTATCTAGAATATCTATAATAAATATTACTTAAGTATTTTGCGATAGGATTCTGTCATAATCTAGTTTCAGATCATTTTAGAACTCTTTTCAGCAAGAGTGGTATGACGCTCTCTGAACTCTCCCTAGAGAAAGCTGCTTGAACATTGCTTGGCATAAAAGGAAGTTGTCTATTGGGAAGTTGAACTATCCCTCTTTTGAAGAGTTTAGTTACTCTGACTCTCTATTCATTGATTTTAATATGAAACCCACCCGACTGTCTCACTGGTCTCCTATTTTTCAAGTTCATGAGTGTAAATGAGATGGGAGGGAATTGCCCATTTGATGGTATGGTCACTGAACGATATCAGATCGCCGGTATATTTGAAACCTAAAGTAAATCTCTCGGCCACATTTCCATGATTTGAAGGTACCAATTCGAGCAGAAAATCCGATTCATGTCTATAAAGAAACAGACTAGTAAGGACGAGGTTTCAGTCAATTAACCTTGCTTAAATGTGTTATATCAAAAGGATACATAGGCATTATCAATGGGGAAGCCCAGCATTTCAAAAAATCGTTTCCTCCAGAAACATCATTGACTATGTCGTAAGAGAATATTGAAATAGTTGTATGAAAATAATGAACGAATTAAACACATGCTTTTGCATTTCTCATGATGTCAATCACTGGATTGATTGGCCCAATAGTTACAGCCCGCCGCCATACAGGTGGAATATAGTTGAGTATGGCGTCAATCAAACACATAAATACTCACAATAATGTCGGAATTGTACACTCGATTCTGCTTTTGGCAGATATTTCTGGATGTCTAAAAGTTGTTTTTTGACGAAGTATACTACTAGACGTTATTACCGCGACAGGGGCAAGAGGGATATATTGAAGTTGACGTTTTTTGAATCAGTAGAGCGTAATACGGGCTCGGTTGGGGATACATTTATTCAGACTGCGTATGAGTCACTCCTTGGCGTTTTAAGAGAGTATGTTGCAAAGTCTGGCCATGTTCACTCAGCGTGGTCGGTGGTCTATAATGTCGAAGGATACGTGTCCCTATCATGTCCCAGTGATTGAGTGAGTGAGTGAACTGGGTTTAATGCCGCTTTGGAGAGTATTCTAGTCATAGAACTGCTACCCTACATCTGGGTTAGAACTGGTCATCGGTGAATGTCGTAAGAGTCGACTAGAAGGATC